CTACAAAGGACCAGAAACTAAATAGGCTTTTAGGGCCATAAGTTCTCTGTTTCAACTCTGACGTATTTTGAACGCAGCCAGACAATACATAAATGAATGGATGTGGCTGTGTTACAACAGAAGTTTTGTTGTTGTCTTTTCATTTGTTTACAAAAAAAGGTAGGTGGTGGGCAGAATTTGGTTATTGGCAGTTATTTGTCAGCCCTTACCTTACACCAGCGGTCTCCAACCTTTTTGGCACCAAGGACTGGTGCTTCTATCTAATGCCTGATGATCTGAGGTAGAGCTGAGGCAGTGATGCTAGTGCTGGGGAGCAGCTACAAACGCAAATGAAGCTTGGCTTGCTGCCCACTACTCACCTCCTGCTATGTGGCTCAGTTCCTACTAGGCCAGGATACTGGTCCATGACCCAGTGGTTGGGGGCCCCTGCCTGGCCTTATACCAGTGATTGACCTTTCTCAAATAGGAATCCACTACTCTAGCTGTACACTTATTGGAGCGAATATGGTGACACCGACAGAACAAGTAATCATTTCAGTAACACCTTACAGGAATGCATACTCTCAAAATTAATCACTAAGCTTTCCCTGTTAAGTTCTCATAACATGAGCACATACATTTTTTAAAATATAAAATTGCAAGTCTCCTTAAAGCTAATGTTATTTTAAAAGAATTAAAGTGAACATGAAGTAGCTACTATAAAAGGAAGATATGCAGTCTAGACATACAAATTCAATAGTTTTTTATTTATTGTTCTGATAATCAATAGTTCAATAGTGAGTATAAAAAGCCTACTAAGTCCATGGTCATGATTTGCAACTTCAATACTCAAAATTCAGAAGTAAACTTCCAAAGTACATTTAGATGAGAACATAAATGTTTTCTTTGGATTTACCAGAAACCTTGACTTAAAAAAAAAAAAAAAAAAAAAAACACACTTTACAGTTTTGCCAAAATATTTTTAATTATAAAGTGAAACCAAAAACCTCCTTGGCACATCGTGTGCCTATTTAATTTTAAAATATTAAATTTAACATTTCACTTGATTCTCTTGTAGGACAGAAATTATATTTTTAAGGCAGAAAAGAATGACAGCCATTTTAATATAGTGGGAGCATGGATGAGTACATATTTACACTCTAAGCCATCAAGAGCACTCATTCGCAGAATACATTTGAGCTACAGGATTGCTATAAGAAAATGTTCACAGTACTTATAGAAATACTGGATGTTATATAGAACAGTGAGGAATAAATTAAATAACAAATGTACACAAGACCCCTTGACACCAAAGGTACAACTGATAAAAGGAAAAACTGATGAGGCCTACTTTCTTCAATTCCCTGTGAAGAGGATGAAAAGACAAGCTACAGACTTGGGTAATATATTTGCAAACCACTTATCAACAAAGGATTAGTATTTAGAATATATACTCTCAGAAATAAACAAGTAAAAAAAATCCAACTAGAAAATTGACAAAAGACACTATCATACATTTCACTTAAGAGGATACAGAGATGGCAAATGAGCACATGAAAAGATGATCAACATCATTAGCCATCGGGGAAATACAAATTAAAACTATAACAAGATATCCCTAGACACTTATCAGAATGGCTAAAATTAAAAAAAAAAAAGTAACACCATCAAATACTGGCAAGGATAAGGAATATTCATACGTTGCCGGTGGGAATGTAAAATAGCAAGTCACTCTGGAAAAGTTTGGCAGTTTCCTATTAAACTAAACATGCAATTACCATACAACCAGTAATTGCATTCTTGGGCATTTATCCCAGAGAAATGGAAATTTATGTTCACACAAAAACCAGTACATGATTGTTCACAACTTTATTCATAATAGGTTAAAAAAAAAAAACGAGAAACAGCCAGATGTCCTTCAAGGAGTGAATGGTTAAACAAACTATGCACCCAACACCATGGAATATGACTCAGCAATGAAAAAGAACTATCGATATAAGACACATGCCCTGTATGAATCTCCAGGAAATTATGCTGAGTGGGGGGGAAAAAAGCCAATCCCCAAAAGTTACATACCGTATGATGCCATCTATATAGCATTCTCGAAATGGCAAAATTATAGGTATGGAAAACAGGTTAGTGGTTGCCAGTGGTAAGGGAAGGAGATGGCTGTGACTATAAAAGGGTGATGGAATTGTTCTGTAGCTTGACTGTGGTGGTGGTTGTTACATGAATTTACATGTGGTAACACTGCATAGAACTAAATACACATACGCAAGTGAGTGCATATAAAACTGCTGATCTTTGAATCAGCTGTATTGATTGAATCTATTTGAATTTCCTTATTGTGATATTATACCACAGTATGCAAGATGTTACCATTGGGGAAAATTAGATAAAAGGTATTATCTCTTACAAATGTATGAGAAGCTATGACTATCTCAAAATAAAGACAAAAGAGGAAAAAAGAAAAAGAGTATATAAGACCAGCCAGTGGCAGAAGTGGAAAAATAAAGTTTTTATTTTTGCTAAAATCTCAGCAATTGAAAGTCAAGGAAAAAAAAAAAAAAGAATGCCAAGAAGAGAATCTACATGCTACAATTAATACAATCGCCGCCTCCTCCTCCTGTGTAGAGCTCCAACGTCCCAATTTTATGTCCCTGATTTGACTGTTGTTAATAAAAATAAACTGTACATACATCTATTTCTCCACAACCCTCGCCACCATCATCACCATCCCAGACTATAGACTCATAGGGTAGGGACCGTCTTAACCATCATACACTGGTGGCCTGGCACAAAATAAGAGAAGGAACAGGATATACTGAATGAACAATGAATGAATAAATGAGATGTCTGCATATTCTTTTAAAGTTCCTAGTCAATTACAGTTACAAGGCAGTTCTTACACATTCTGTTACAAATTTCTAAAAGCTATTAATGTTAAAAAAGTGTGGTACGCACACATTTCACTAGCAGTCAGAAGTTAACAATACCTGACTTTTATAAAATGCTTCCCAATTTATAGACTTCTACATATAGTATAATTCATTTTGATAAGGATGAATTAAGAATTATACGTATATAGAGTGGAACTAGTATATACAGATCTTGGGAAACATTTTTCTAAACAACTGGTATAACTAAGGATGTATGGCACCGCCTTAATGTAAATTGCATCAGATAGAAACATTATGTATCTACTTTTTCTGTAAAAGAACAAAGAATTCAAATTGGGGGACTTATGGATCATTCTGTCAACCATCAAGACACTTTTCTTTTAGGGATGCAAAAACTAAGAGAGGTAAAGTAACTTGTCCAAAGTTATACAATTAGCTAGAGTTGGAACTGAATCTGAGACTCTCCAGAGTCCCAATAAATTTCTCTTCTCACTGAATTGGGCAAGACTCTCCTTTCTCCACACATCCCACCCCTAGACAAAACAAAAAATCTTAATCTGAATCACTTACTTTTTTTAAATAGGGGGTTTTTAGGGGGAAAAAACCCTGAAGCTTTTCATTGTTGCATTACACCTTTAAGGACTTTTTGGTGTCAAATTACTTCTCAGATCAGAACAATAAGGTACTTTATTCTATGGTGTAAGTGCTATACTAACAGTTTAATGTTTCATCCTCCACCTAAATGGCAGAGAGGACATTAATCTTAGAGGACATTAATTCTCTTACACTTTAGCAGCTTCAATGGAAAACATGAGCTATTTTAAAATTCAAGGAAGAAGCCTTACACTATTAAAATTTTGATTGATACGATAATTGTCAGTACTGTACTTGAATCTCCACTTGCATACAGTCTTATTTATCGAGGATAGTTAAAACTATTGTTAAAGGCAAAATTAAAGAAAAACTAAAGTGACGAGCGACTACTGGGAAATGAAGCTTTAATCAAGTTAAATCTCCGTTATGCAGCAACACGTTACTAAAGCATGAATTTAGAGGTCCTAGAATGAAAACACTAAAAGGAACCTTAGGTTCAACATCCTCATTCTTGTAACTGAGGAAATCGAGGTGTTGATTAAACCATTAGCCCATAAAACAGGCTGTTTACTTTTTCAAAGAGATTGATTTAAATGCCATTTTGCCTTTATCCTGCATCTCACCGTCGTTCCTTAGAACGGTGATTGATTTTTTTTAAGGTCAAAAGATCGAATAGAGCAAATTCATTACCAGAGGGTGAAAGAAATGCCTTTGAAGGAGGAGATGCTGGAGTGAAGAGGAGAAATGACGTCTTATTTAAAATATGTAACCCCTTGATAGGGGTTAGGCAATGAATCATATTCTCCTCGATTTTTCTATGTGCTATAGACATCAGCCACAGTTCTTTTCTGTATGGCACTGAAATAAGAGGAAGAGGAAGTGAATAAAGCTAATGCTAAATATAAAACGCCCGCTGAGGAGAGGGTTATGGATGGAAAGAACAGGAAAAAAATACGAGCATGCTTCTGCTAAAATACAGCTGTTTTATAATATACCTAAAGATGCGGAAGCTAAGAAGATATCGAAAGCCAGGGCATCCCTCACATTGGAAGGGCGGATGCTTCTAGTGCCAGAGAGACCCGCTAACCCTCGGATATACAGCGACCCAAAGAGGACAAAAATGGAGTTGAGGTTTAGGGGCGCCCTAAAGGTCGCTGGGGGAGTGTGGCAAGCACTTGATGTGCTCCTTTGGAAAAGCTCATGGTAAAAGGGTAGTACCCTGATTAGGAAGATGTTTTTGGCCTTTGGAGGATGGTGAGCGGCAGGAAGAGGCAGGCCAGGCGAGAACCCCAGACTTAGTAAAAGGGTAGATACAGAGAACTCGGGGATCTTCCTGGCCCCGGGGGAGGGAGCGGGTAGATCATTCGGTCTCAAGAAGAAATAGAGCCGATTCTGAGAACGGGAACGTCAGTCCTCTCAACTGCCTCGGGGCGCAGGTGTGGGACAGTGGCGCCGCTGGAGATGGGGTCGAAACAGCCACAGGGCAGGGGCGCTGGGGCCGCAGCCTCACCAGCGGGGTTTACTCACCGGAGGTGCTGCCCACGACGTTCTCACAGCCGCAGGCGCCTGCCCTTTGGAAGTTGGCGGTAGGCAGCCGCGTGCCCGCTAGCGCTAGGGCGAGGAGGGGTGCGGCGTGGAGGCCTGAGAAAAGCCGCAGCGTCGAGCGCGCTCCTCAACTACCAGCAGAGGCGGGGCGAAGAGCCGCGCAGCGCGAGCCCGGAAAAGACGCGCCCGGAG